GCAGTTTTCCTCTCTTCCCCTCCTTCCTCTGTCTCTGTCTTTCTTCTGGTACTGGGGATTGAACCTAAAGCCTTTGGCATGCTAAGCAATAGCTCTACCACTGACTTACATCCTCACTCCCCCCCCCTTTAAAATGTTTATTTTTAGTTAAGGTCTTATAACCAAGCAAAACCGGCCACATAAACACCTGTATTTAGGTTGCTGAAGTTACAGTGCTGGTTTGTAGTCTGATTATTTGTGATCATGTGCTTGTACTGTTGTCTTTCAAACTGGAGTCCGTGTAAAATACCTACCCACTTTCTTTTTGGGCACTGGGTTTCTAATCCAGGGCACATAGATCAATTTAAACTGTGACACATTGTTACATGCATGCACGCGCGCACACACACACACTCACACACTATATCTCTATCTATATATATATATTGATTGATTTATAAAAAGTAGTCACAGAATCAATGAAGATGAATCATTCTTTAAAATATGAAAGAGAAAATAACAGAAGATGCCGAAATATATACCATGTGAAACTTTTATTGCATATGAATGTGCACGTATGTATGTGCAGTGTGTGTGTGCGTGTGAGAGAGAGACAGAGAGAAAAAGAGAAAGAGAGAGAGAGGTGTCAAAGATATTTCTAGGCTGCAGGACATGCTCAGGTGCTTAAGATGCCTTGCGAGTGTGAGGACTGAGCTCAAATCCCAGCAGACATGTAAAATGCCAAGTAAGGTGGCCAGTGCTTGGAATCCAGTGCAATGGAGAGAGGTGGAGGTGGAGGTGGAGGTGGAACCCTGGGGCTTGCTGGGAAAAAAAAAAAAACAAGGTGGGGGCACCTGAGGAACAACATACAAGAGTGCTCTCTGGTTAGCACACACACACACACACACACACACACACACACACACACGGGGGTTGTATTTCTAACTGTAAATTGTGATAAAACCATTGGGAAGATATCACACAAGAAGGAAGGCTTTCATGACTTCACTCTTGTTCCTTTCTGAGCTACCCTGCAGGCCAAAGCCACAATAATGTAAATCACAGCTTTTGCTAGCCTACCTCCCTGCTTAAAAGCCTTCAATTTTCCAAAGGCCAGGCTCAATTTCAGTTCCTCAGCAGGGCAATGACAGGAGTACAAAAAGTGACTCCAAATTAGAGTGCCAATTCCCACCAGGGACACCTCTGTTCAACCACTCCTTAGTGTGTCGGCTTTCCTACTGACCATCTCTACCAAACACTCCGCATGCGCTCTCGCCAATCACCTTTCCCACACTCTTCACCTGGATCTCTCCCTCAGGTCCCCATGGAAACAGTAGGCACTTTTCTAGGTCAAAGTTCAATTAAAATCTGCTTGGAGGGCTGGAGAGTTGGCTCAGTATTAAAGAGCACTGGCTGTTCTTCCAGAGGACCCGGGTTCAATTCCCAGCACCCACATGGCAGCTCACGACTGTAACTCCTGTTCCAGGGGATCCAACACCCTCTCATAGACATAGACGCAGGCAAAAACACCAATGTTCATAAAATACAAATAAACTAATTAAATCTGCTTGGAATGCTTCTTGACATCATCCTGACATGTGCTCTCTAGTACTTTCCAGGCACTTATTAAAGGAAGGTGTTGACTCAGACAGCCTCCAATGTCCCTCAGCATCCAGCACCTCTGGATACTGTCAGCGTTTACCAGCATTTAGTCAGCACAGATCGGCTGAGTACCACCTGTGCGCATCACACCATACAGCTCCATAAACCCATCAGAACCTAAAAGGGCCTCAAGAGGAGAAGGCCTTTACTGACACCTAACCTCCCAGACACTCTGGCTGTGGAACATCACTTGTTCACCTTCCAAACGCACTGCGGGCTGGGTCTGAGGAACAGCAACATCTAAGGGAAGATGAATGAGAATCAGCAGCCTGATGCCCTATCTGCAAACAGTATTCACGCTTACCGGCAGACGCCAACAGCAGAGGAGCTTCTGGGATTATCTACTCCCTCGTGTTACAGAGGGAGAATCAAGTCCTGGAAAGGCTGACCCGCCACCCTGTGAGCAGCGAAACCTGGACTTGAACACAGCACTCGACTTCCTAGTGCAACGTACCTCTACACTTTCAATTTCCTTCTTTCTCAAATGACTAGCCACCTTCAGCAACGCTCCCCTCTCATCACGGAAACCTCAGATTATCGAGGTATGTGGCTCCAGAGAAAGCTACAATTCCTGGAGCCAGCTTCATTAAAGTCACTATTCTTGTTTGTTTTGGATACAGGGTCTCACTGTGTAGCCCTGACTGGCCTGGAACTCACAATGTAGACCAGGCTGGCCTTGAACTCACAATGATCCACTTGCCTCTGCTTCCCTAGTGCTTGGATTAAAGGCATGTGCCAACCACGCCTGGCAACCACTCTTAATTGTACTTAATTTTCGCTATCCATCATATTGAACACACTTAGCAGAAACTGGTGGAGTAGGGGTGAGGAAGAAATAGGGGGCGTTTGATTTGGGGCCAACAAGTGAATTAATGCTCTGAAGGGCAAATATCCAATGCTTTCTTCCTACTAGGACAGATCACTGGAAATAAGCCTTGCTGGAAGGCTAATAGGTGGGTGGGTGGCAGTGCAGGTACTCACTAAATAAACAGGGGGCCAGCAGGCTGCCTGCACAGAGGAAGCAGAAAACAAAAGCCTCTTACTCTTCATGCAAAGTCCACAGTGTGCAAAGGGCATCAATATTAGACATTTCTCACCGTGACATTTTGAAAGTACAGCCTAGTCCAGAACAATGGATACCCTTTGGGCACCACGGGCCATGATAGCCTTAGGCCTTATTTAACGATGCTTGGCACAGTCAATGTACTTGGTGAACTTGACCTTGGGCATCAGCCTCCCATGAAGGCTCTACGTCACTCTGGTCTCTTCCCCTAGTGAAAATTCCGATTTCAGATGAATGGAGAGATTCATTCTGGGAGCAGGAAAACCGCGCTAGGAGTGAATCAGAAGGACCCAACCCTCGTTCCTTTGCCAGCCATTGAGCTAGGAACTGAGTGCGATTGTGTGCCCAGGCGCTGGTGTTGGTCCCCTCTCTGGGAGACAGGGTCAGGGTCCACGCAAGAGATGACGTAGAAGCCCTCTACACAGGAAGAGACAAGAATCTCAGCGTCCAGGGACAAAGCCACCCTTTTGGTTATGATCCTCAATCCGAGGAGGTACTAAGATGCGCCTGCACTGTAAATTAGCTCGTGAAAAGCTCAGTTCCTGCTAGTTATTGCCAGTTTCAATTCTCTCCAACCTGATGGGCTTCAGGAAATGGGATGCTAGCTTTTCAGAAACAGAAACATTCTGAAAGACAAATGAGAGCAGCTTGTGTCAGCTCATCCAGAAAATCCATACCACTAGTGGTCTCTGCTTACTCTCTTCCCAATCAGTGAAGAGAAAAAAAATTACATTTTTTAAGAAAGTATAAATGCCAGACTAAACAAACAAACAAACAAAAAGCACATGTACTTTCTGCTTTCTACTTCAGAAAAGAGAGAGAGATTCAAAGATTCAAGGTGCACAAAACGAGATCACTTCTACCGTCACAAGGCTGGGGGACTCAGACTTCAAACAATTAATTCCTTTAGGAAAGGGGCCTGCAGAAGTGCCACCTACCCTGTCAGTAGCCAAGTGATACAAGATAGGAAAGTTAGCTTTTTGGGGGGTTCCAGGCCTCTGTTGGGCTTCTTGGAACAAGAGGTTGAGGGAAAATGAACAGCTCCTGCCGGGGCTTATTAGAGAGTCGCAGGGGCTGTCCCGTCAAGGCTTCTTCACCCGCTTGACATTTGTCCAAAAATTAATCTCAGTCTGAGAAGCAGGTGGAGGAAGGGGCAGAAATGGCTTACACCGTACATTAGAGAGCTCTCCTTGACATTGAGTGACAAGAGCTGCTTGTGGCCGAAGCTTGGTCTCCACTGGTGGTCAAGCGTGAAAGCCTTCCCAGAGGGTGACAGGCTAATTTCATTCATTGATAGCTGGTTACCATGCACTTATTTTGCATAACAGGCTGGGCTCTGAGCAGGTAAGGCCCCTACATTAATGGTCCTTGGACTCCGATTCATCTCGTACTTCTCTGGGAGCCAATTTATTCATACACATTCATTATAAGCAGTTGGAGTTTGTGAGACGGGGGATTGTGGACACACAGGCTCTTGGGTCTAATGGTAAAGTCTTTGACAAGGACAGCCTTTAAAGAAGGTAGAAAATACATAGTTTTTTTCTCTGTGACTATAAAAATAATCCAGAGTAATAAGTAAATAAGGCTTTTGGGAAAAATGAGGACCTTCCACCAAAGCTAGCCACGAACATTAGGAAGTCTCCACCGTGAGCTCATCACTTGCAGCAGTGACGCTCTAGTTCCGGGGCTCCTTGGTTTTATGATCCCCATAGAGTTTAAGTGAATTATGTTTATTTTAGAGAGCGGGCAGTAGGTCACACCTCTAGAAAGATTCGAATCGTCCAGACACACTTTAAAAGGGTGTGTGTGGTGTGATTTTGGTCCCTTCCATGTGAGAATCGATTTTTAAATTCCTAAAAATAATTTTGTCTTTTAAGGACCGTTAGGTTGGTACTATTTCATCTGTCTGAAAGCAGATGGATTTTTGATCAGAGAACTGTGCTTAGACTCCCTCAGTGAGGGACTCAGCTGGGGGGCGGGGGGGGGGAGGAAGAGGCGGTGGGGAGATACCCCCGGGAGCGAAGGAAGACACTAACTCCACCTCAATGGATATTTGAGAGAAGAGGGAAGAGCTCCTTACACCAAGGAGCTGGAAGGAGACGAGTTGGGAGAGAAAGCAGGCAACAGGATCAGACGCGGGGGTCCCAGGCCAGGGGAACCACCAGCCTGCCTTCCCGGGAGTCCGGCCGAGAGATGGAGCCTCCGGGAGGGCAACCGAGGAGGTTCCCGGAACCGCTAAGGAGCCGGGCTGTCGGGTCGCTCCTGGCTCCAGCCGACGCCGCTCGGCCTCACTCACCAGCTCATGGTCCCAAACCTACGCCTGCTGCCGGGGGTCCTCTGCAGAAACTCGGTTCTCGAGGATCACTTCCGGATTCGATCAGTCTCCAGGAAGTGATGTAGGACCCGCCTCCTCTGCCCGGAAGAGGCGGGAAGGGGGCGGGCCTACGCGTTAACACTTCGCTTGCTGTTTGAGGCGGAGTTTCTTTTGCAGACTACGGTTCTGAGTCGGGTTGTGAGGCTGTCTACGTAGAGCCCTTCCCGAGCTAGTCACGGCAGTTTCTCTGTCTGATGCTTCGTTTCTGACCCCGAGACACAAGCAACAACTGTCGTGGGGAAGCAGCTAGAGGAGACGCAGTAGACAAGAAGCTTGCGTTTGCTCTAAACTCTTTCGTATCTATAAAATAGTGCATGTCCCACACGCATCACCTGTAACAACAAGCAGGTTCCCCTCCCCCTCTCAAGATGATTCAGGTCTCAAATGGTAGCAGAGTAGGTGCTTTTCAGGGTACAATAGTCTGTGAAGCTATTCGATGAGGGAGGACTCAGAGAGCACCGGTGTGATGACATGTACCTATAATCACAACACCCTGGAGGTTGAGGTAGAGAGGGGTCATGAGTTTGAGGCTAGTCTAGGCTACGCAGCAAATGCAAGGCCCATCTGGGCTTCATAATCAATACTTGTCTCAAGATAAAATAATACTCCAAAACCCATAAAACAAAACAACAAAAGAAGAGGGTGTATGGAGAACTCCGCAACAATATTAGGAAAGATCCTAAGTTCTAGTCATTCATTTAACAATAATGTGCCAGGTATGAGGCTAACCTGAGGGATACAGCCTTGCAAAAGGAGTATTGACCTTGTCCCTATGCCCTTTCAGAGCTATGGTCTTTCGGAAAGAGGTAACAAGAAAGGAGGAAGGGGGAGGAGGAGAGGGGAGAAGAAAGAGGATGAGGAGGCGGAGGAGGAAGAGGAGGAAGAGGAGGAGGAAGAGGAGGAGGAAGAGGAGGAGAAGGAGAAGAAGAAGAGCTAGAATATAGAACAAGGTGCTGGGCAGCCCGTTAGGGGGCCCTGGAGCTGTACATGGGGTTGTAGAAGATTAAGAGCTAGGCAAACAGCTGAGTTGTCTTTGGCACCAGTGTTCAGAGCCTCAGCATATCACAAACTGCCTAGACTTCTGAACTGAACTGTGTTTCTTTGCCCAAGTTCCTGTTTTACAAGTGAGAAAGGCAAGTAGTGAGATCCTACCCCCTGGTTTTCTCTCTAGGAATTCTCTTTCTTCAGATGGACCTTAATGGTGGTAGGCAGGACCTGGGACCTAGAGCAGAAGGTATATACAATGTGTCCCAAATTCCTAGGGCACAGAACCTCAGAGTAAGAGGAACAGGGATGGTTCTTAGTTTAGTTTAAAAAGGCTCCAATGGTAGCAGAGTAGGTGTCTTTCAGTGGGAGGTGGGCCCCCAAATCATCACGTAGATTAGCTCCATCACCACGCCTCCCCCCCCCCCCCCCCGGAAATGAGCAAGCATGAGCACAGGAGCGTCTTAGTGAAGACCCAGAATCCTTGAAGCACAGCTCGGGCAGAGAGATTGGGTGGGGCGGGTCTTGGTCCTTACTGCTTTTTGTACAGGGAAGATGAACGGAAGGGGGTAGAAGAACGTCTTTATGAGTCTCTAGATGTTCCAGCACCTACAGATGGTTCTGCCCCATTTCCTCCCTTCCCCACACTCAGCCTCCCTCAGACATTGCCCATAGTGATAGATATTTTCAAAAGTTTTAGCCTAGGCTACTGCTGCCCACCAAGGGAAGTCCGTTTGGGGGTTGTGAGGTGGAGTAGCAGACACATTTGCAGGATAAGAATGGATGAGCTCTGGATTAAGAGTCAGAAGAATTTGAGGGCTCTATTCCCCTCTCTGGCAGCACGGCCCATTTCACAGAAGTCACATCAATTCCCTGGTCATTGGCCCCTCATCTATAGGAGGGTTAGAGGGATAACACTGCCGAAGTCTCCCTCAGTCAGTCCCCAAGGTCACTGTTACATTGATTCAAGAGCAGTGGTTCTCAACCTTCCTTATACTGTGTCCCTTTAAAACAGTTCCTCATGTTGTGGTGACCCCCAACCATAAAGTTATTTTAGTTGCTACTTCATAACTGCAATTTGTTATGAATTATAATGTAAATATCTGACACATAGGGTATACGACCCCTATGAATGGATCGTTTGACCTCTGCCCCAGAAGGGGTCATGACCCACAGGTTGAGAACTACCGTTCTCGAAGCCCGAAGCCCGTAGGAAATATGACAGAGGAAACAGGACCCGAACAGAGAGACTAGCCCAGAGAAATGAGAGGGTCTGAGCGATCATTGATGTCTGAGAATGGAGCTAAATATGAATCTTCTGGGAGAAAAGGATTCAGCCCATGGTCTAACTGGGGCTGTTTGTTTACCACCCACCCAGGACTTTTAACATAATCAGCAAAACCTTCAAGGTTACTGGGAGAAGGCTTCCCAGGGTCTGTCTGGAAAGTGTCTGGAAGTCTCTGAGCTGGACCTGGCCTTCTTTCCTCTTAGCATTAGGGCTGAGGGTGGACAATCAGATCTCTTCCTGTTCTGTCCATCTTGAAGTTCCCTCTGTGGGCTTGCCTGTGAGTGGCACTCATTCCAAGATAGCTGCGCGCAGGAATGTGTGCATACATCTCACTGTGGAGGAAAGCCTGGCCTGCAGGATTAGAACCTATGCCTTCCCTTTCTCTAATCAAATGACAGTTCAATACGGGTTGATCCTACCTCTTCCAAGGAGTGGGAAGGAGCAGAGGGGGTTTGTGAGTTGAAGCGGAGAGTGGAGGTACTTCAGAGAGAGGTTATGCCCCTGATTGTGAGCCTTGTAAATATTGCTTCTTCCCCAGATGTCAGGTGGCACGGGTCTATTTCACGAACAAAGCTATAGAAGAACTGATTTATAGCTCCCTGGAGTCTTTAACTCAGAATATACAAATGCTGTCTATGGGTCCCTGTCTCAGGACATGGTACATCCTGCTTTGTCCCAGCCCTTTTCCATATGAAGTTTATGGCTGGGCCAACTCTTTTACTATGCTAGCCTCAAGGAGGTCCCAGAAGCAGACCAAAACCCAGGCTGGCAACATTCTCCCATCTTTGCACGTGCCTACGAGGGTTCACCGGATCGGAGTTTCCTGAGAAGCCAAAAGTCAATGACATGGGATGACAAGCCAGAGTGGCAGAAGATGAGGACATCAGGGCAATAATTTGTGGAGGATGGGAAGTCCACATGGACTCCTTAAAGGTCAGGGTGAAGTGTCCTCTCTGAAGCTAGGCTGCAAGCACTAATCAGGATTAGGAACGCCTGCTGGGTCTTGGCTCTGCCTCCAAGTGGCTTAAGAGTTACTTTTCTTCCCATGGGCTTCATCTTCCTCGACAGTGCTTTGCTGTTCATTTGTAGAGAGCAACCTATTATCTCGGCAACAGCCAAGGGTGTTGGACCCAATGTGAGGGGTCCAGACTAAATCAAGGCTGGCAAATGGGTGTCATTCCACATGTCAGTTTAGACTGCCTATTATTAGCTGTCTAGAATGCTTGTGAAGACATTCTGTGATTGACTAGTAATGCCTGCCATGAATGAGCAAAGCGGGTAAGATGGTATGTGTGCTGTCTTATTTTGTTATGTTGACAGTTACTGTGCATGCTATGCCATGTGCTATCCTAGGCAACTACCATTTAACCCTTATAACAACCCTAAAAGGTAGGTGGCACTATCACTGCTGTCACTTTTTTATGTCATTCATACAGGTAAGCACAGCCATGGAGTGACGAAGAAAAAGACTCCAACCTGGACAACCTAGCTCTGCTTCCACCCATTTACCGCTTGAGTATATCACCTCTCCTCAGAGACCCCCCAAAGTTCCTGCCACCTCCAACTGTCTTTAGCTCTGTCAAGGTACAGTGGGGTCTCAAGCCAGCATATGGGCCAGAAGGAGCACCAATTTGGAAGGGCCAGCACGTGCCCAGGCCCTTACAGAGAACACTTTACTATGTATGCTTCCTGCCCTTTGGAAAGCTGCCACCAGCAGATGGCAGCACCTGGCAGGGTGAGAGCAAAGGGCATCTCCTGACTCAGCCTGGAGGACCTTCAGCAGGTGTCCAGGAGGGTCGGGACAAACAAGGGTGTGGAGGAAGCTTAGCCAAGGGCCCCAAGGAGGAGGGCCCTGGACCTTAGATCTGCAGGGAGCCGCCAGAGCAGATGCTTCGGTTGTACCCAACAGTAGGAGCCTCCCAGCTTGCATTTCATGGCGCTTGCTGTGCGCTCACCCCCCCCCCCCCCCTTTCCTCCACTCTGGAAGAATGACTAACTTTAAGGACTAAAAAAAAAATGTTTTGATTACACTGCCTTTTCACCAACTGGGAGCATTAGTCACCCAGGACTGCTGCAGATAACGGGGAAGGCAAGCAGCGTCCCCCTCCTCCCCCTCCTTCTCCAATTAGCTCACAGGCCCAGGGAAGAGATGAGTGAGTGAGTGAGAGCGAGAGAGAGCGAGAGAGCGAGGGAGAGAGAGAGAGAGAGAGAGAATCAGGATGCAAAACAATCCCCTTTGGATGATGCACTGCCCAGGCATTGGGGTGTGAGGTGCTAGATGAGAGCTGGGGAGACCCCTGAGGTAGGGCCCAACCCAGGGTGGCAGGGGCTCACTGGAAGCAACTATAAGAAGACATTAAGCCATGGCCAGCTGGCCCTGGGTGGCCTATTTCCCCAGGTAGGTCCTGAGTAGACTGGGAAGGGGAAACGGAGGTAACCCACTAAAAACATGGCTCCTGAGGCGGGGACCCTAATGTGAATGCTGTTAAGGCCACACACAGTGAGACTAACAACTGTCCCTGGGTGGTGGCCCTGAGGAATTTGGAATTTGGAGTTCACTGTCGGGTAGTACCAGCACCCACATTCTATTCTCTGTGTCAAAAGCCTCCCTTCTCTGTTCCCAAGGAGCACGATCTGCTGTGTTGGGCTAGCCCTACCTGAATGTTGTTTCTGTCGCTACCTTGGTGCTAGGAAGCTAGAGGGATAGTGTCTTCTCCTGCTCTGGCCTATTGGTCCGGGGAA